TGCACATTGTGTTATTTTTACATTTTTTTTAGTTGTTTTAATAATTTAATACTTGAATTCAATTAACAACAGCAATATGTTAAATTAACACATGAATAAATATTTAACTGTTTTTGTGTTAAATATTTAACACAAAAACAGTTAAATATTTATTCATGTGTTAATTTAACATATTGCTGTTGTTAATTGAATTCAAGTATTAAATTATTAAAACAACTAAAAAAAATGTAAAAATAACACAATGTGCATCTATTTTCAATTTTACACAATAGATAATATTCCGTATTATTAGTGACAGGATTTATCTGTTAAAATGTACAGAAAAAAATGTTGATTTTATTTTACAATAGGAATGATAGTGACTACAGATCGTAGTCAGATCAATAACATTTTTTTAAGTTAATTTTATCATTAAAAATGTGTTGATTTTACACAAAATTTATTTCAGATTATTTTGAGGTTTGCATTTATTTTGTGTTAAAATATTAATATAGTATTAGTGTCACCATTTAACATATTATGTTAAATTAACAGAAAAATTTGTGTGGGCCGTTTGGAATATGCAATATATGTTAAATTTAATTTATGTCAAATTTTCCAACTGTTCGCGTACGCTGCAATATTCTTGCATAATATATTATATAGATGCAATTCACACACAAATAACGCTTGCAGTCTCGCGATACATTCCAGAATTTAGCCGCGATCGCATCGGTAAGTGGTCCTTTTATCCCCGAAATAACCCTGTTCTTTCGAACTGATGCAGGTGTGGCTGGATTATATATATATATATATAGATATATACGCGTTTGTGTGTGTGTGTCTATATATATATATATATATACACACACATTTTTATTGATATAAAATCGATACAAAACTACGACATGGATTCCATGACTCACTACGGTGTAAATTCTATCAAAGATCATAGTATTGTGATTTTCAAAAGATCGCAACGGTAAATCGCGTAATTCAAATTACACAGTTGAAAGTACTAATGTAATAAATATATAGATTGCGCGCCCTCTATCGTATTCGACGCGTATGCAAATATTAAATATAGACGGAGAATCTAATTTGCTAAAGGTGGGAACCAATCACGTTCGCCGCTAAGCGATTTGACGAAAACGCGCCCATTGATTTACACAGTTGAAAAATTTGTATTAAATTTAACAGATATCATGTTTCAAACGGTTCACACAAATCTTTGTGTTAATTTAACATAATATGTTAAATGGTGACACTAATACTATATTAATATTTTAACACAAAATAAATGCAAACCTCAAAATAATCTGAAATAAATTTTGTGTAAAATCAACACATTTTTAATGATAAAATTAACTTAAAAAAATGTTATTGATCTGACTACGATCTGTAGTCACTATCATTCCTATTGTAAAATAAAATCAACATTTTTTTCTGTACATTTTAACAGATAAATCCTGTCACTAATAATACGGAATATTATCTATTGTGTAAAATTGAAAATAGATGCACATTGTGTTATTTTTACATTTTTTTTAGTTGTTTTAATAATTTAATACTTGAATTCAATTAACAACAGCAATATGTTAAATTAACACATGAATAAATATTTAACTGTTTTTGTGTTAAATATTTAACACAAAAATTTTAATCGGCATATTTTTTAACAAGAAAACACAAATTTTTCAGTTGTGTAGAAATATTTTTTTATTTTAATCATCTTTCTCGATTGCTCAGAAATATGAATATATTTCGTCACAAGATTATTACATTAAATATTAAACTAAAGTTTGAATTCAAAGTTATGTGCGCGTGATGACCAGATTAATGAGAGAGATTGGTTATCGCGACACTTCAGCTGCGCATAAAAACAAATGGATTTTGTGTGAAAGATATCATATAAAGATCGAACGATCGCGTATGCAGAAATTGCTCCTTTATATTTTATATTAGACTAATATTTTTACATTACCTTAACGAATTGTTGATGTGTGCAGGTAACATCCATCGAACGTTGCGTAATAAAAAACAAATTCCTTCAGGCGGGAATTTCGTGTGCATGCGTGAATACGATCACGTGACTAACTTCGGCAGACTCGTACTCGGTTATATAGGGCCTAGAGAGAGTAGTCGCACATAAATTACCTAAATTTTTGTTATTGCTTATATCAATACTATATAAAGCACATAAAGTGTTGCATTAAGCGTATACCATTAATATTACATACATACATATGTATAGTAACAGAATTTATTAACTTTATATGGAGATTGGAATGAAAAAAATGTATCTCGATAAAAATATAATAAAAAATAGTATGATATTATAATTTGTCGCTGTAAATGCAATAATTTAATATACCATCTTACATTTTATTAACAAGTAAACCTACCCAAGTGTTACACTCCAATTTTTTCAAATTTGGCACAAATGTAGAACTACCAAAAATATTTGACCCGTATTTTTTTATTTATGCCCATAAGCGGTTTTATGGGTAGTTAATACCCCTTCAATATTCAATCTTCTACCATTATAAGTACAACAAAAATGCATAAGAAATAAAATTTAAGGCAAGATGTAGAAGTTTTTTGGATCGCTTATTATGAATATAAATCAAGATTTGCAAAATTATTTATTTAAATAATAAAATGTTGAAACAAATTATCAAAAAAGTTGAAAAAATATAGTATAGTGATCATATGTTATAAGAGTTATTCGGATAAATGATTCTAAATATGGCATTAAAGTAAAATGCAATATTTTAAATTATTCAAACAATAAACGGTTTAAACAAATCAGCAACAAGATATTAAAAAATTGAAGTGCTTTATAGTGGCTTAAGTTATAAAGGATTTTTAGATTACTCATTACACATGTTATTAACACACACACACATTTTTCTTTAATATTATTATTACATATTATATATTAATTGATTATCTTTTTTAAATTTTATTAAATATAAGATCTTTTGTTGGTTTTATATTTTTATTTTCTTTTGTAGGTTTTTTAAAATGTTTTTTTCTTTTATATCTTTCTTATTCTTTCTTATTCTTTCTTATCTTTGTTATTCTTATTCTTTTCTTTTATAACTTTTTTAAATCTGTTAAATTTTTAACTCCTCAAAATATGTACAGTAGTGAGAACGATCAGAATTTTTTGGATCAGAAGTATGCACTTTGATTTTATGCACCAAGCGCATCTAAAAATTGCAGTATCACGACAGGAATCACAAATAGGATCACAATTTTTGAAACAAAAGTTTACAGGTGTTTCGCATTTAGACGGTTTCTCTTCAATAGCCACTCTTGTACCATGCATATCTAAAAAGGTTTACGAACCTGGGAGATGAAAATTGATTGTGAATAAAAGATTGGATTTTCAGAATATTATTTCTTAAATGCAAGTTTATATCATAGACTACGTTTACATCCCTAATCGGGTTTAGAAACATCCGTAATTCTAAGGCTGGCCAATCACAGTCAATCCATTCTTCAGAGGAATAGCTGTGATTGGCGAGTTTTACAACTACGGACGTTATTAAAATCGATTAATGGTACCGTGTAACAGAACTCATAGTCATATAATATAATTATGTCTGAAAAATGTTTTAAGAAATTCTTCTACGGCCTCAATGTATAAACATCCAATAGCTGAATTATACCAATTGTTCCGGCAGAAATCGTCAAAATATTTATATATCTCTTTCCCAAGTTTATCAATTGTGTCGTCCTCATTACTGTACATATTTTAAGAAGTTAAAAATTTAATAGATTTAAAAAAGTTATAAAAGAAAAGAATAAGAATAAGAAAGATAAGAAAAAATAAGAAAGAACAAGAAAGATATTAAAAAAAAAAAAATTTTTAAACCTACAAAAGAAAATAAAAATATAAAACCAACAAAAGATCTTATATTTAATAAAATTAAAAAAAAATATTTAATAAATATTATATATAATATATAATAATAATACTAAAGAAAAATATGTGTGTATGTGTGTGTGTGTGTGTGTGTGTGTGTGTGTGTGTGTGTGTGTGTGTGTGTGTGTGTGTGTGTGTGTGTGTGTGTGTGTGTGTGTGTGTGTGTGTGTGTGTGTGTGTGTGTGTGTGTGTGTGTGTGTGTGTGTGTGTGTGTGTGTGTGTGTGTGTGTGTGTGTGTGTGTGTGTGTGTGTGTGTGTGTGTGTGTGTGTGTGTGTGTGTGTGTGTGTGCGTGTGTGTGTGTGTGTGTCAATAACATGTGTAATGAGCAATCTAAAAATCTTTTATAACTTAAGCCACTTCAATAAAGCACTTCAATTTTTTTCAATCTGTTGCTGATTTGTTTAAACCGTTTATTGTTTGAATAATTTAAAACAATGCACTTTACAAATTTAATGCCAATTTAGAATCACTTAATCGTATGTCGTTAGTCGTTAGCAAATTGATCAATCACAATCGATAAATCCAAAAATAAACGACTGTGGTTGGTCAATTTGCTTACGACTAATGACATACGACTTATTGTAGAACGGGCCTTATAACGTATGATCACTATACTGTATTTTTTCAAATTTTTTGCTAATTTGTTTCAACATTTTATTATTTAAACAAATAATTTTGCAAATCTTATTTTATATTCATAATTATTGATCCAAAAAACTTCTACATCTTGCATTAAATTTTGTTTCTTATACATTTTTGTTGTACTTATAATGATAGAGGGTTGAATATTGAAGGGGTATTAACTACCCGTAAAACCGCTTATGCTGGGCACAAATAAAAAAATACGGGTCAAATATTTTTGGTAGTTCTACATTTATGCCAAATTTGAAAACATTCGAAGTGTAACACTTGGGTAGGTTTAAGAGAAATCTTCCATGTCATTTATCTTAACATTTCTTATTCTTTTTTTTTACGAGAATTTCAACGATACTTCTTATTAAGATATATACACGACTGAGACGTCTGCTAACGCTTGCATTATCGCGCATGCGCGACATTTGTCCTTTTATCTCGCGACTCGCGACGTTACTATACGTTACATTACGTGCAACGTACACCGTACACCACACACCACACACACTACACACTACACACTACACACTCCATTGAAGTACATAGGCATACGTTAGTGCACACATTCAGTTATGCGAAAGAACGTTACTATTATTTGTTGATGATAAATCTCTCGTGTAGTTTGGAATTATTACAATATATTTAGAAAGAAATGTCTTACCAATTATATAGGAATACTACGTTGGGAAATACGCTTCAAGAAAGCCTCGATGAACTAATACAGGTGAGTACATAATAATAATAGAGATAGGTTAAACTTAGCTGACATATAGACCGTGTACAACACTTTTTTCAATTTATATCAAATAACAATGTTAATTAAGTTTATTGTTTATGAAATACTGTGGTAAAGAGTTTATTACGTTATAAAATCAAAAAAATAATGTAAACAATTTTTCTTGTACATTTTTTTATAAAATTGAGAAGACTAATAAAATTCTATCTAAAATATTAATATATTTTTACTAACAACGCATCTCTCTCTCTCATTAGAATTTAAAATATTCTTATATAGACTATTACATAATTTTATTATATTATATACCTAATAATGAAAAAGAAAATATATATATATATATGTGTGTTACAGTATGGACAGATAACACCAGGGCTTGCAATAAAGGTATTGCTACAATTTGATAAAGCTATTAATCAAGCTCTTGCAACAAGAGTTAAATCGAGACTTACATTTAAGGTAATTTTCTTTAGTTGTAATCTTTTTGTTTAATTTTTATTGTATTTAGAGTTTAAAATTGCTTTATATTGCAGGCTGGCAAATTAAACACTTATAGATTTTGTGATAATGTGTGGACTTTTATGCTAAATGATGTTGAATTTCGTGAAGTTCAAGAGGTTGCGATAGTAGATAAAGTAAAAATTGTTGCCTGCGATGGAAAAAGTAAGTATTTATAATGAACAATAAATATAGCCTATAATGTATTGAATATTTTGAAATTAACTATAAATGTTTCAAGTAATTAAAATCAATTAAATATGAAATGAGAGGCTCTGATATTAAATAATTAAAAAAGAAATAGCAGACTAATTAAGAGTCTGGTGCGGTAAATAATGCACAAATTAATTTTGATCTGTTCCTTGTTTATTGCGATAATGGAATTTAATGTGCATCTGTTAAATTATATACCAACCGATATTTGCTGAGGATGGTCCAAATACTAGGACCAAAACATCCATATTATCATAATAAACAAGAAAGATAAAAATTGATTCGCGCATTTTTTACTGCGCCAGGCTCTTAATTAGCCTGCTATTCCCTATTATGGGAAAATTATATTATAAAATCAATTATTCAACAGATTTATAATATACAGTTTTCTACTTTTTTATTTATGATTATTATTTACAGTATTTTTCACAATAGAAATTTTTTTTAGCGTTGGATACAGATGGAGCTGCAAAACGATAACAAATCTAGCATTTCACATATACAAAAAAGATTTTGCTGTAAAAAATATAACGATTTTCATGGGATATATATAAGTATATAATACAAAGTAAACAATACAATAAATATAAAAATATATTTCCCATTACTTTCCCATAAATATAATACAAGTATATTAGTTAGTATATTTTAATATAATTTTATAATATTTAAGCATTCAAAAAATATTGCTTATACATTTTTTTAAATTTAAAATGTATTAGGATTCAATACTTTTAAATATTTTAACTAAAATATTAGATTCTATATATTAAGATATATTAAAAAATTTTATAAATTTTTTTCTTTTTTGAAGACATACTTTAGGGGCATTAATATTATTATTATTATATGATAGAGAAGATTATTTTATAACAATATCAAAAAGTGTAGATGAAAAGTAAAAATGTATGATTACTCATAGTAATTTATTGATAAGCAGATACATTAAGTTTATAGTAAGAAGTAATGTACCTATACTTGTAATTGTAAGTATTGTGGCTTCTCTGATATTTTTGTTATGTGGCATGGATTTCAATAAATAAAGTACAACTATGTTTATAATATATTGACCATCCAGAAAGAAGCAAGGTACAATATTAATAATTGCTAACCCTGCTGAGAATACTGTGATGTATTTGCAAAGTAATGCCATTGATTCAGGCAATTTGGGATATACAAAAGAATACTTTGGTACCCAATCTGATACATCAACAGTCCTATAAATGTCCGCTGGATGTCCAAAGTATAGAACATCTTTATCTACTTTCCTCTTTATTTGTACAATCTGTAGCATAAAAAAATTATTTGTTTGAAAAAGTTATGAAGGATTGTTTTAAAGATAGTGATTTTGGAGGCATATTTAATATAGTTTATCAGACAATAATTTTACAATTTACCTTTGTCACATTATCTAAGGAAGGTTTTATACAATGAGTATCTTGAGATAGACATTCGTGACTAGCTTGACAGAAATTTTGTGACTGATTAATCATTGCCCTCACTGGAAGGCAAGAATGTGGTGGTAAATGAAGAGGAGCAGCTTGTGGTCCTTCAATATATTCAAAACATAAACTACCACCCATTTCACTATCAGTTGTGCAACAATTCACAGCTCCATTTGCTTTCTGCTTAGCTGGTACTGACTCGTCATAATCCTAGAATATGATAACATCAAATTTGAACGTAAAGATATTAAATTAGAACACAAAATTAGAAATTGTGAAGTATTAATATAGTCTACAAAAAATTATACAGAGATGCTAAATGATGAAAAATGATATAGTGTGTGTAAGATAAATAATCTTCTAAATATATACATTACCTGGATAAATGATTGTTTAACACAATAACCAGGAGTTGAATGTTGCACTGCATGCAGTATACAATCATACCAATCTTCACTATGCTTTATAGGGCAATTGTTTAATTTATGTATTATGTCATGTTCCAAAAGACCAGTTGGTCCTAATACTGGTGAATTCTACAAAAATAATAAAATGTATAAATGCTAGTAGTGATATATTTAGCCAAAATATAATTATATAATCCTATAATCTTGATATAATCTTCATCATACTCACTGGTAAAATACTTTTCACATAAACCCCAGTGCCAAGATTATAAAGTGGTGCCCATAGCCATGTAGAAAATACAAGAATTGCTGCTGCTACTGTAGCAAGAATAATATTGTGCCAAATTCCTGCACATGTAATGCGTAACTGATTTTTCAATGGTAATGCAACTAGTTGTTCATTGTTTATATTTACATAAGCTATTGGAATTGTAAAAACAATCAAAATTCCTAGACCAAACAGCTGTACATCTTCTCTTGCTGCAGCAAGGGCATGTCCTAATTCATGAACTATACTACATATTGCTAGTGTTATTGTATAATAACCCATCTCGTTGAATGGAACATCTACACCTGGTAACTAAAATATTTATGAAATTATAAAAATAATATGCATATAAAAAAAAAAGTATATTGAAAATGTGAAAAATGTCTGATCTATTATTTAGATTCAAATAAATTGTTATACATCATGTTATAATTTTAATATATCACAACCATATGAAGTAAAAAAACTTTTAGCAAAGCTAAAATTAAGTTCTATGATTTTATAAGAACTATTTTATAAAATCGTTTTTATATGTTGGAAATTATTAATAAGTATCCTACTCTTAAACAAATTTTTATTTCTCTATAATTTACCATAGGTTCTAATATAACTCCAGAACTACTATCACTTGAAGATCCAGCCAGCCACAGATTAAATGTCATCTTTAAGATAATGATTGTAGCTATTGGTAAGAGTATAATGCTTATAATGACACCAGCATTGAACCAAGCAGTCCAAAATCTAGAACGATCCATTCCCCATTTTATAATTTTACGATTGAAAGCAGTTGTAAACCACTTTACTCTCAAAAATTGAATTTCTAAGCCAGTGTTCTCCAAAAAATAGAGATACGGAAAATGTGAACAAGACTGAAAAATAAGATAGGAGTTAGTCTCATTTACTTACATTTATAATAAATCTGTTTTAGAATTAGTAAGAATATATGCATAGAATTTTATAATAGAAAACATTAATGTTAGTAACAAATAATAATTTTTCTCAGCATATAAAAAATGCTCACTATATTATATATTAAATATTATTCTACTGTTAATGAAATGTTTTATATCAAAAAAATTTGGAACATGAAATTAAAAATAAAGCAGAAATATTATATAAAAATTGTGTAATTTACCTTAAAAAAAATATCAAAAAAGAATAATGAACAATGTATCAGAGTTATTACAACCAATATGCTTAAAACATCCATCTTTCAATTTATTTTTATTTAGATTTCGGATGCCGGTTTCTCTCATAACTACATCACTGTATTTTGCTAAATTAATTGAAGATCACGCACAACAATGCATAACCATAGAAGAATATTCGATCGTATCTCTAGACCATGTTGCAAACTAATGCTATTCCAATAACAATTAACAATGTAGATTTAATATCAATATTTCGCAGCAAATGTTGCAAATTCTGTTTTTTCTTAGCAAACTTTGTAAACAGAAATCATTAAGTGTATCAATGGTAATTTAACCTAAATATATTCCGACGTAACAGACGCGTCTGTGATTGCGTGTAACCTCTGTAAAAATCAAAAAAATAATTATCCTTTTAGTATCTCTTGAACGCAAAATACTTCTTTAAATTTTGCTTTCGGATAAAGTGTAAAGATAACTTGCACATAGGGAATTTCGTAGTTTAGTTCTAGTACTAGAGACGCAACTAAAACCGCATACCTTGAGATTTATTTTTACGCATATTTACAAGCTAATAGCTGTCACTCTCACATTGTTTATTATACACTGACCGTATAGAGTCATTAGCGGTTGTATTTTACGTTTATTGTATATATCTTAATTGCGTTTTTGTACACAACGCGATATAATATTTTTGTTTATACATAACATGTCAGATTTTATAGAGAATCAAGTTCAATTACTGCTTGCCGGACAAGCATTAGAAAATGATGACATATGTAATGTACATACTCTGGCGAGTGACACAATAGGTATGTCAAATTATTTATATGGTAATTATTGTCATAATGTTATTATAAGATTTTTATTTATTTATTTTTTTTTTTCATAGAAAAGAGAAAAAATAATTTAATATAATTAAACTAATATACATTATAGGTGTAAAATCAGGTCAACTAACAGGACATGTTCCCATTTGCTCGAAAACAGTGACATACATAGTTGCCGCTGTTGTTATAAATGACCAAGGTGAAGTATTAATGATGCAAGAAGCAAAAGCTTCTTGTACTGGAAAGTGGTACTTACCAGCTGGTAGAGTGGAAAAAAATGAAAATCTCATAAGTGCTGTGAAAAGGGAAGTCTTGGAAGAGACAGGTCTGGTAATAGCGCCAACAACTCTAATATTAGTAGAATGTGCAAATGGTACATGGTTTCGCTTTGTATTTACTGGAGATATAGTTGGCGGTGTTCTAAAAACACCTGATCAGGCAAATGAGGAATCCTTACAGGCATCTTGGATACGAAATATAAATGACTTGCCACTAAGGTCTAATGATATCATATATCTCTTAGACAGAGGCAGAAGTTATGTTTCAAATAAATCTACTTCTCAACATCCTTATCTAATGCCTATGACCATACCACATACAAAACTATTGCTAAGATTAGTAGTCACATCTAAAAAAAGAGCAACGTAAGTGATACACATATAATTAATATTTAATAAAACTATCATTATAATAAAAAATATATATAATAATATAATTATATTTAAGCTGTTCCGATATTTACTCCCAGTACTGAAAATATATAGTGCATGTGACGTAAACTATACATTTTCAGTACTGATAGTTAATATCGGAACGCAGCCTTAGATTAATAGACAAAAAAATAAATTAATAAATTTTGTCAAAATAGAAACAGGTTACATGTGCTTATATCTGATACTGAACGATATAATCTACCAATTTGTGAAATTAATCCAAATCGTAGTTTACTGTCTACTTTGCATAGCTTTATGACAGTGAGTATATATTATGTATATAAAAATTTTTTTAAAGTTTAATTTTATACTATACAGAAACTTAAATATACAGTTTTCTCTTTCTAAATTGATATTATATTTTTCTATAGAAAGAATAAAGATATATTTGTTAGGGAATAAGTTCCCAAATTTAATAAAAAAAAAATTTTGCTATATAAATAATATATTCTTTATCTCATTTTTTAAGGAAATATTTGGAAACGATGTAGCACAACATAAGCCACATGGTTTATTGTCTGTAGAATTTAGTGCTGGACAAGGAGGAGATGGTTTATGCTTGACATTATTGGTGTCCTTCAAATTGCCTTTGGAAGATGTGCCTATAATCGGAAAACATATTTGGCATGAGCTTTCTGAAAATGTAGCAGAAACTCTTGCAGCACGTCTGCCGCGAAACATGACTGTCCCTTTAAAAGTCGTACGTTAATTGCGTATAACTGTTTCGCTCAACAATTATATTTATTTAAAAGGCTCAGAAGAAAAAGATTTTTTTAAATAATGTTTATGATGTTAACATCGTAGCTACCCTAGTCTACACCAATGACTTTATAACAGGTATTAATATCCAGTAAAACCTACATTCCAGTTTTATCTAATATAAATAAACTAATAATTTTATAATATATACAGGGTGTCTCACAACCTCTGTACAATATTATAATAGCGTATTCTAAAGGCAAAATGGAGTAAAAAATCTTAATACAGAAATATCGAGGCTACAATAGTTTTTGAGTTATAAGTGATCAAAGTTTGCCAATAATACTCCGTCCAAAGAGAGAATGACCTCGGTCCGCGTATAAGCGGGCAAAGTGGGGAGAACATGGCGAGATACTCAATACTGTATACGTAGATACGGCTTCTGTGGGTGGAGACCTGCTTATGTTCGTGTGCGCGCGACTAAAAGTTACATAGTTTTTAACTTATTTCACTTGCAAACTATCACTCAACCAATGTCTATAATGTGAAATATGATATAAAAAAATTTCAATCATTGAAAAAGATTCTATATAATAGTAAGAGAAAAATCAATATTTAAAGAATAGTGCGACAACAAGAAATTGTTTCAACAAGCAGTTTATCATTAATTTATTACATGTAAAATTGCACATAGGAGCTCACAAAACAAGATTCATACAAACTGCACTATTTATTTTTATCATTTTTATATGTATTATTTCTGTATACTCAAAAGATGCTAGTAATAATAGCAATTTGCTCATTTAACCCGAGGGCGATTAAATCTAAAACTTGATTATAAAGTACTTATATAAACATATAATTAAACAAGAAAAATATGACATATGTTAATAATTTATATAAATAAAATTTTTTTATAAAATAAGTTTCTATTATCTTGTCAAATCCTCTCTTAGTAACTCAAAAAGATCACAGATTATAAAATCATATTCCATTGATCTATTATATAAATAAGTCTATAAAACTTTTACAAAGCGAATTTTTATATTACAATATAATAATGTTACATTTAAGAAGCAATATAGGAAGATCATCATGTAACTGCACAAAGGTGTAGAAATAGACAATTTGTTGCCTTTTTTAGTAAAAAATTACTCAGTTACAAGTATTACAGCATTAAAAAAAATGCTATAAAGATTTAATAATCTTAAAATTTCTTAATATGCTGGATGAATCATGTAATCTGTTACAAATCAAGAACTGTTAGTCAAAATATAAAAAACAAAAAATTTTTTCGGTATATTGTTTGATATACATTATTATTAAACATATTGTGTAATAAAAAGTTTGAAATAATCTTATGACTTAAAAAGTTATATATTACAAACATTACATAAATTTTTTCCTTGTCAAAACCAAAAATTTTTCGAATGTCTTGACTAGTTACTAATATATCAGTTTGTAACAAATTATGTGATTCAAATTATACACTTGTGTATAATAATATTAATCTTATATAACTTTAACTAGAAGTAAATGTTAATCATCCTACAGTGTTTAATACAGTATCATCTGTACTTTCATTTTTTATAGGAACCATATTATTAGTATTATGTATAGATTTAATGTCATCATTGAGCATTAAAGATACATTATTAAAATAATTTGAAGAAGCAGTATTGTTAACATCTATCTCAGGATGTAATATACGCTTTTGATCATTTTCACAGTCGATTGCATTTGTGTTTGTATTTACAGGATGTTTCTTCATATGAGTTGTCAAATTACCGCTATGATAGAATTCTTTCCCACAGATTTTACATTGAAATGGTTTAATTCCGGAATGTATCCTTTCATGTATTGATAAATTGCCACTATGCCTAAATTCTTTACCACACACGCTACATTTGTAAGGTTTCACACCTGAATGAGTTCTCAAATGAGTAGAGAGATTACCACTATGACTAAACATTTTTCCACATATCTGGCAACCATACGGTCGTTCACCAGAATGTGTTCTCATATGAATAGCCAAATTTCCACTGTGCGTAAAACACTTTTCACATTGATTACATTTGTATGGCCGTTCCCCATTATGAGTTCTCATATGTATAAATAAATTGCTCTTGTGTCCAAACTCTTTAAAGCAAATCTCACATTGACATTTCGATTTTTTTCCCATAGCAGACTCCATGGAACTTTTTGATGGTCTCCCAAGACGATTGTTTTTTACAATGATTGGTGGTTGTGCTGTCAATGTCTGATTAATATTTCCTACATTTTGCAGATCTTGTGATAGCTGTGACTGTTTATTCTCTTGTACTATGATAACACTGTTTGTACCCTGATGGCATTGGTTATTTGTCTGTATTTGATTGTTGCCATCTTCCTGATTAACTTGATAGAATATATTATTTTCTGCATAATCCTTTATATATGGTAAGCTCCCTGTATCCTAGGATGCAAATATATAAGATTAAATATATAAATATGCTAGCTACTTACATAATGATGTATAGATACTTGCTTCTGCCTGGAACATAGCCTGTTGATCATGAATTTCATTTTTTGTAGGTGTCTCATTCGATAACTGCGCTTGCTCCCAAAATTGAGATAACTGGCGGTGTTTATATTCAACATCTTGATTGATAAAAGGATATATGGAATTATCTGAAGTTCTGATTCTATTATTTGTATTTACATCTTCTACATTTGTACATTCATGTTTTATTTGTATAGGACTAAACATCTGGAAATATTTATGAATTCAAAAAATAAGAGTATAGATACCACGTATTTATATTGATGCATAATAAAATGCCACATCGAATCTTTATTGTATTTTTAATTATTGTGTGTATATTGTTTGATACAAAGAGGATTAGAATTCTCTGGTTTGATACATTATTATTATATACATGATCTCCACACACTAACATTTTATTTTAAAGAATTGTCAACAGGGATCTCGGCTAGGAAATCACCAATTGAGAATATCCGTAATATCAGTGAAATTCACTAATAAAAGTATCATAATTGACAATCTCCTACTATATACGCACAATAAATGCAATAAAAACTATTTGTGTATCCACATTACTGACAAGGATTTCCAATCTCTTTGTTCTGAAGTCATTTTTGTTGAATATTTGTGAACGCCATCTATATACCAGAGAGAAGACACGATAAAGTGAGCTCGATGGGTTCAGGGATAATTAAAGATTGATGACATTACCGACTGTTTGACTGCCTCACCGACTATTACAATATCATCTATGGATAATCGTTGCTAAAATCAGTAAAACCATCTACAATAGAATATACTCTATGGTTGATACGTAAAACGTCTAGCTAGATATAATCTTTGAAAATTCATAAGAAATAATGGTGTATAGGTACCTTTAAGGTGCCTTTACATGGCAGCGTTAAGCGTCGAGCGTCTGCGCAGAGAATTGCGCAGAATCTAATTTCAGCCTAGAATCTATCTCGTTTAAATTCTGCGCATTTTTCTGCGCAGACGCTCGACGCTTAATGCTGCCATGTAAAGGTACCTTAATGCTGCCATGTAAAGGCACCTTATGTGTATGGGCGACTAATGCCCAACCAGCCATAAAAGAAGAAGAAGAGGAAGAAACGTCTAGCTAGCAAAACGCGCGGCAATGAACTAACCTTCAAATAATATTTAAACATAAATTACAAACTAATAGTTTTATATTAACAGAATGACATCCACCGATGAAAAACATGCTAATTTACCATGGTCAGTACAATACTTAAGATGTCAATGAGCCTGCTGACTAAAAACCTTGTTATATATTTTAGGGTCGAGAAATACCGTCCCAAAAGTTTGGATGAACTTATTTCTCATGAGACAATAATAAAGACGAGTAAGTAAATATACATGGAAATGTATATACTTTATTGGCTAAATTATTATAGTGAATGAAGTTCAAATTTGTCTGTTACACAGTAAACAAATTCATCAATGAAAATCAACTACCACATCTGCTTCTTTATGGACCACCTGGGACAGGAAAAACCAGCACTATACTAGCATGTGCTCGTAAACTTTATACTCCAGCACAATTCAATTCAATGGTTATATATTTATTAGATAATCTTATGTTTTCTTTATTTATTTATGTAGTAATTATTTATTACATGTTAGGTGTTGGAATTAAATGCTTCTGATGACAGAGGCATAGGTATTGTGCGAGGCCAAATTTTAAGTTTTGCCAGTACAGGCACTATGTATAAATCTGCATTCAAGTTAATTATTCTGGATGAAGCAGATGCCATGACAATTGATGCTCAAAATGCACTCAGAAGAAGTAAATGATAATTTTGATATATTATAAACTTCAAATTCATTTTATAAATTAATTAAATTTTATATTATTTTTAGTTATTGAGAAATATACGGATAATGTACGTTTTTGCATCATATGTAATTACCTTAGTAAAATCATACCAGCTTTGCAGTCTCGTTGTACCAGATTTAGGTTTCTACCTCTTGCAACAGAACAAATAGTGCCAAGATTAAATCACGTTATTGAAGCAGAGAAGTAAGCAAAGCTTTATTTTATATTTAATTATATATTCGTGATTTTTCTTATATATATAATTTATTAATGAAAAATTGTATAGCTTAAGAGTTACAGAGGATGGAAAGGAAGCATTAATAACATTGAGTGGTGGCGATATGAGAAAAGTAATAAGTGTACTTCAAAGTACATGGTTTGCTTATGGTGAAGTAAATCAAAAGAATGTATATAACTGTGTTGGACATCCGTTACCAAGTGATATTCATGCTATTATAAATTGGTTGCTTAATGAATCTTATGATACATGTTACAAAAGTATCCTTTTATAATAATATAAATACTTATATAATAATTCTTTATATTAAAACTATATAATCTTTAATGTACCTTATTAAGAAATTCAAAAGCTTAAATTGGACAAAGGACTTGCATTGCAGGATATATTAACGGAAATTCATTTATGTGTAATTAAAAGTATGTATTACTATGCTTTGGCATGTACGTATGTCAAATATTTATAATTATTATTATTATAAACATTTTTTTTAGTTGATTTTCCCAATTCGGTATTCATTGATTTATTGTGCAAAATGGCAGAAATAGAGAAAAGGCTGGCCTCTGGATGTCGCGATATTATTCAAATAAATTCGCTCATATCTGCGTTCTACAAAGTTCGTGATATCGAAACGTGATATCTTCCATACATTGGCATAATTAAAATTTCTCAATTGTAATATGCAGACACGTACTCATACATTTATATATCCCCTTTAATCTCGTTCTACTTTATTTTTTAAATATCGAAATACTGTGAATGTTATTTTCAGGATATAAACAATCTTTTGTTATGTATTTATATATATTGTACTGGTAATATATTAAAAACAAAATTTTTTTTTCTTTATTACTTTAAGAAATATATAAATTTTAAGTATATTTATTTAAGAATAATAATATTCCATACGAAAGAACTTGTGATTACAATGGAGCTGATTAGATATTCAGGAATGATACATAAACTCCGTTCCCCACACACAACATTGTATTATCCGAAAATAATAAAACCATAAAAACAATATGTATCCTAAATATATTTTACAATACGAGATTGTTATCATTGTCTGATTTCGTCATTTAATTACATTTTTCCGTGCGCCTTATCAGCAGTACTAAAATCTAAAAATAGACAAAATAGTATAAGTCGCAAATAAGTCGAGTCATCATTGATTTTATCCATCATAAATTATGTCCAGTCCTTTGCTTTTGTCGCCGTCACTTTTTCCTGCCTTGCCCTTCGGAATCGCGATGATCTCTTTACGTGCGCGGAAAAGTGCAAACTTCATTCGAGAGATGATAACTTTCACGAACAGACAGCACAAACACGGGCAAGGGGTGAACTTTGCCGCGCCAGGCTACAAGCCTGCAATCAGTGTATTCCGTACTCTCGGATCTTACAAGTAGTAGCGGTCCGATAGTAGCCCGACAAATACCGCGCAATCAGCACGCGATCGTTCGAGCATCATATCGAAACTTTAAGCGTGCGAACTTCGTGTACCCCCTCCTCTCCCCCCGCTTCTCTCCCCGTAGAAACTTACGTACACGTTATTCCTCGTATCACGCATCGAATCGTACGGCTAATGTATAACTGAGATATTTATGGTGTATGTCAGTTTAAAATTTGTATAATCTGATTTATATATATATATATTAATAAAATATCCCATGTAGCACGAAACGATGCAGCAACATTGTGATAATGTTCTGTACCATATGAGATGCTAATCTTATCGCTACACAGTGTAAATACATAACACAGTGCCGCTCTTATATTATCTCTTCTTTCATCTCTAATTATTTATACAGTTTGTAAATTTTTATCGTTTTGAAAAACGGTCGTTTGTCGATATGAAATATTCGACGCGAGAGCTTCGTCCGTCACCTTTTTCTCTTTACGAGTCGCGTCTACGAATCATATAAAAAATAAATGCGTGCTAATAGCGAGGAATTATAGCCGTTGCTAGACAAACGTTGTCGGGAAGGTTAATAATACATGTATGTACTTTTTTTATTGCATTAACATTTTACAGGATCCACTTAATAATAATAAAACACATCGCGGGAAAGATATCAGCTTTAAATTCACGAGGCAACCAGCTATCTACGCGTCAATCGGCACTAACTTCGCAGGCGACAACGTTACAGCTGTAGATGGGACAGGAGAACATAAAGCGGCTTATATCTCCTGTAACGTGGCAAGATCACCCTGGTATCTCCCTCGCGGTACCACTGTAAACCTATATGCAATCCGTGCAAGTGAAGTGATTCAACACTAGTCCCGGCATGCCATTAGCTTCCTGCATGTACGTGTATGATCCACATACATTGGGTATATACTCGTATATAAATATATATGTATATACAACACATTCTGCTGTATATTTTCCGAATATTACAAGTATCTTGCTAAATGGGACTTATGTGCAAGCCTTATCTTAAGTTTAGTATATTTTTTACAGATGCAGAGCATTTCGTGATTTCACTGCAACAAACTACATACATCTGGTGAGTCATAAGTTAATATGTCTTTTTCGCAGAAATATAAGATCAAACATAATTATAGCCAGGGTTGGGAAAGTTACTTTATAAAAGTAACTCGTTACCGTTACCATTCTTTTTTCTAAAAAGTAACTCGTTACAAATTTTAAAAAGTAACTCGTTACCGTTACCGTTAGCCAAAAATAACGAGTCGTTACAATTTCCGTTAGTTTTTTTATATATAACAATAACTTTACATACAATTTTTTTTAATACAAGATCAAATTAAACACTAAAAATTTTTAAACATTGTCTTACAAAGAAACAAGATACCAAAATGAGTTTTTAGTAGGTTTCATGTAATTCTGCATTCCAACACTCTTATCAATATTTTCCTTTGTATGAAAATTATACCGAGTAAATTCAAAAAACGTAACGATAAAAGTAACTGTTAAATTCGTTACTCGTTACCGAAACATGTAACGAAGTTACATTTTCCATTACAAACAAAATTTGTAACGCCGTTACCGTTACAGTTACCGAAAAAAAGTAACTGTAACGGTAACGGCGTTACAAGTAACGCATTACTTCCCAACCCTGATTATAGCTTAATTACTTAATATTAAATTAGCGATTTAGTTAGTATAGATATTCATATAAATATCTTAAAATCTTATACTTTTTCCGTTTTTATTTTTCACAAATATTTACTTGAGATCTATTTTAAGTAATTTCTTTTGATAATGATTTATTACTCGCAACTTGATGTGCAAAAAATATCTTCATAAGAGTCTTTATTAGTTAATTTGAAAAAATATCTTGTTGTTAAAAATAAAACTTGCTCTTATCGGATTTATGTTGGGAAGAAAAATCCATTTATAATTTAAGATAGAATACTTTATATGTATAAAATATTTTAATTGCTATGCGTTTATCGTCAAAGAAGGAGAATAAGCGCACTCTTCCGAAGTGGTAGATTGAAAAGCTTCAAGTAGAGGATTTTGCTTCCAATACAATGAGTTATTAATTCCTCTAATCCATTTCGGGAATATTATCATGTGCAAATTAGATCTCGATAAGTGCGGCGCTAATGTGAGATTATAATTATTCATTTCCTCATTAAGCAGCATTTTACGCAATGTTCGCCGAATGAGGCGGAAACCCCGAAAGCCGAGTATGCGTAAATACATGTAAAAAAATAAAATAAAACGCAAAAAATTGATACAGACGATCATGATAATCGAAACGCACAGTCTTTCGCGGAGAAGATTCCACAGAAATTACAGTTCCATGCATTTCAGGACTTGTTGTTAATCAGTGTGAGCTCTCTCAGGGTGTCGAAATTAATCAGGGAAAAGTTCTCTCCCCACTCTGTTCCTCATAAAAGCGCGCGAGCCCACACATATATTCTTCGAATTAGTGATTAAATAACACTCAGGCGCGATACTGAACAAAACTTCCGGGTTAATAAGAACTTTCGAACTCGGTGTGCTAGCACGTCGATTCTGCCAGCTATTTCATGTTGAAAACTTGGCGCAGACGTGCCCTTAACTTTCTGCTTCGAAATAACTAATTCAATTAGTATATCAGTGCTAGCAGTGGGGTTAACTACGTCTTCGCAAGTATACGTAATCCACATTCCAGGCTTAACTTTGACATAGCCCGTATCCTCTCTTGAACTTTCGTTTTAGGCCGGCCGTCCGGTTTGAAGAATGATTGCCACGCGCGCGTCTGCCGATACATTTACTATACAGAATACAGGAGACTTAGTGACGGATGTTTATTTAGCTTGTTCATATCAAAGCATATGAGCGTGTTTCAATCACGCAGATATATTAATTAATTTGGCACAATACTATTTTATGATACTACAAATGAACATAGATTCATCATCATGCATAATAAGATTTCAACTCGTCATGTGTGATACTTGTAACAGTTTCAATAATTTAGAATGACATAGGTAATCACTTTTTATTAATTTAACTACTTGCAAAGAATTAATCTTTAATTAATTTTAGTTTAATTTAATTTAACTTAAATCTCTCATCAATTCTTTCTTGTTGCTTTGATTGGACATATTTTATTTGATGTATTTTTAATTTAAAACAGTTTTTTTTAATGAGATAAAAATGAATTTTTAATACACAATTATTTCTAAATTATTTGTATGTAAAAAATTTTATTGTGGTAGAAAGAGCAATGATAAATTGAGATAAAATAAGAATATAATATTATACAATTGTATTAATGCTAATTTATTAATGCAACTTCTGTTTTCCGAATAAAATAGAAATTTTAAAGTAATATTCTTAAAATGATCGATTTAATTTAAGATTCTATTTTTCTCTAAAAGTATATGTTTATATGAATGTGGGTGTAAATTCAAAAGGCGCGACGAATGACAGTCTTCGGTGGAGTTTTCGCCGAAGAGAATTTGGCATCAGACTCGTCGAAGGAATATGTGATTGTAAGAATATTCGGTCGGCCGAGTGGCCTGTAGTATGCAAATTTAACGAGTGCAAAAGAACGGACGGTAATCCCGTTTATACGCGATACAGCCGCGAGTTTTCTCGCGCGCATTACGACGAATGCCATTACAAACAATGAGATTACGCGTCGCGTGCCTTCATCGAAAATAGTAGCCGCCTCCGCGCCGAAACGAGAGATTGAAATTCAATTTTACACGCGGATATATATAGCTCTCGAGGCAAAACCACACAAAGTCGCAAAGCAGGGCGCGAATAAAAGCGGGGCCATTGCGGTAGGTAGACTCGCATTTCCGTTTAATCTCAATCGCATCCTCAACAGTGCCTGGGATTTTCCTCTTGCCTCTACACCCGCCCCTTTTCCCTCGCGTTTAACCCCCCTCCTCTCCCTCCTCAGTGACTCCCGCGGTAAATATCCGATAATCTATATCCCGCGGATACAACGAACGCTTATATCCGCGGGAAATCGCGAGTCGCGTAACCGAAAAACTAATCGAAAACTTGAGAACTAACCGGAAAGCTTATCGAAAAGCCTTCAGCTCTTTTTCTCCCTCTCTTTTTTTATTTCTCTCTCTCTCTCTCCCTCTCTCTCTCTCTCTCTTCCTCTTTCTCTCGCGAATGGGAGTTCGAATTTCCCAGTGGCGCTTATGCGACATGCTTATCTCGCATATGCCACCGGTGAAATTTTGAGAATCTTGATAAAATAGATGTATTTCTTTTATAGAGAAAACTCATCGGCTCGTATTTTTCTCGCCTTGCACTCGTGATACTGAACGTAGTTGTTTAAAGTTGTGAAAATCGCGATCGGTTTAATGCTACACATTGTAGAAGTTGCAGTAATGATATTTTACTGTTTTTATTT